TTTTCATTTGATAGAAGTAGCTAACATATTTGATGAGTAACAACCTCAGATGAAGAAATGGACTGTGCGAGCACATCTGAAATATTGATTTTACCTAAGAAGGACACCCATATTGTTGGGATTTTGTGCACGAGTCTCATCCGGCTCGATACATGTAAATCATGGCCAAATTAGCTTAACCATCAGTAAATTTGTCCAAATGACCATATATGATGAAATGAACTATATAAGTGTGTCTATAACGTCAATTTTACTTAGGAATTTTTGTGTATGAGTTTCATCAAGTTTGAGGCACACAATCCAGGGCCAAATTGGCTTGACCGTTGAAAATTTGTCCAGTTGACCACAGACGATGAAACAGACTGGAAAAAAATTTTGCACACCTAATTCACCCCCCCCCAACCTAGTCTTAGGTAACATAACAATCTTCATTGAATGGATTGGTTTATTTTTTGTTAGGGATATAAATAAAATAATGCACTTGATGAAGAACTCGAACTTGTCTCGATCAATACCCGATCATGTTTGTTCAAATTAGTAACTAAACAAGCTTAAAAAAAAAATTTTTTAATCGGAGTTTGAAATAGCTAAGGTTGAGCATAGCCCAAATAATTTATTAATATTCATGAACATACTCGTTTATTGTTCAACAAATAACTTATTAATTACATGATAAATATATGATATATTATTTATATAAAATTTGATTAATTAAATTTTTTTTGATTATTTAATGCATGTTATATTTTAATATTGATATACACATAAATTTATTGCCATTTTTTTTATTTTTTTTATTTCAATTAACAAGTTTGTTAGTACTTATTCATGTTATTTGATTGCAAAAAAACTTATAGCTTCTACATTGTTTTATTTGTTTGGTATAAACTAATTAGATGTTAATTTAAAACTTATTTAATTGCTTATTTATTTGAATCTGCAAAAATTATTTTTTAATAACTTTATATAAGAAATTAAGTTCTCATTTGAATTTTAAGCTTGTTTGCTAGCTTTATGTGAAAAATTAATTGCTCTTGCAAATTTTCAGCTTATCTAATTAGTATAAACAAGCCTCGTATAAATCAAGTATGATCACTAAAAATTTTAAGCAAACATGTGAAAGCTCAGCTCAAGCCCAAGTTGAACAAGAAGAACTTATGATTCGAGTAAGTCATGTCCAAAATAGGGTGATAATCAACTTGGGCTTAAGATGTACATTTGACTCGGGTTGATTATAACCCTATTTTGGTTTTCTCGTGATGGTTGTACTTTTTATAATGGCTACCCATATTATTTCTTCCAATATGGTGTGCTTCTGTTAAAGGGTTTTTTTAAGCCATATTTCAAACACAACCACTAATATAATATTAACAAATGTTTTTTTAAAGTTTTATTCTTGTATTTAAGCTATTGGTCTTTATTTATAATCTTTAGCTCTTATCTTAGTAATTATTGGGGAATAAATGATAAGGAAACAATGATGAGAAAAAATATAACACTCATCATTTATTCTATGATGGATTCTTGCATAGATTTGCCTGCATAACCTCTGATAGTTATTCATTTCTTGTGGAGATGTTCGAAGTTATCTTTGGTTCTTTTGTTTTACAAGACACCAAAATTGTACTATTAGAAAAATAAGTAACTTTAACATATTGTGCGGTAGAAAAGTACCGCCTAGACTTAAAGGAAAAATTTATATAATGGTGGTGACATCTGCAATGCTTCATGGTTTAGACTATTAGCCTGTAAAAGGAAGCATAAAATCATGTTAAGTTCAGTTGAGATGAGAATGTTTATGTGGATGAGTGTTTTAACACTTAGAGACAAAATGTGAAAAAAATGTATTAGTCAAAGGGTTGGTGTGGCTCCAATGACAGACAAGATTAGTACGAGTGATCTTAGATGGTTTGATCACATTATACATCGACCACTTGATGGTCTGGTTAGGAGATTAGATGCTTTATATTTGACTTTTGTTAAAAAATTTAAAGGTTGACCTAAAAAAGACTTGGGCATATTGTATAGAAAATGACTTTAATTTATTAGAACTAAATGAAAAATATGAAATACAGTAGGACGCAATGGAGAACATGAATTCATGTAATCGACCCACTTAGTGGGATAAATGATTAATATTGTTGTTATTGATTACTAAGATCATTAACTCATATATGGGGTTTTTCATTTAACATTAGATTAGTTTAGCTTGCTTTCAAAATATGATATCTTGATTGAGTTTTTAAGATGCAACTTTGGTAACCAAAACTTTGGAAAGGAACTATAACATATAACAATATTAAATAGGATGAATTCAATTCTCCACCAAAGTCATGCTTAAATACTAACTTTTACCTTTAATAACAAAATATTCTTCCCTTTATCGATTCCTGGCTTAGTTAATGGACAATAAACCAACTTACATTTGTATTTTGAATTGGAGGCCTTCATTTTGAAAAGGAAGTGTTGCTACTAAAGAAGCCAAAGAGATTCAAATGCTAATCAAGGTTACATTTAAGAGCTTCACTTTTTTTATGAAAATACCTACTATTCTACGAAGTTGAATTTATGGAGATGGGACATTGAAATGAAAGCTTTGGAAGCTACTTGGAATGGCCCAACCATCTTAGACAAACAAGCTTTGAAGACCATCTCTTCCACAACAAATGAACATGGAGATTCTGTAACGGGATGTGTTGGTCTTCTTTGTTGATGTCTTGGTCTATAGTTATTTTGTTAAGTGGGATGATTTTTTTTATTATTAAAAAGTTTTTATTGTTATCTCTTTTGAGTCTTATTTTGATGTTTTGATCACGTATTTTACACTTTTTGTTGGCTTATTGGTTTGAGCTAACTTAGGACAAGCCTCTCTCTCTTTGGGTTTTTTATTATTAAAAAGTTTTTATTGTTATCTCTTTTGAGTCTTATTTTGATGTTTTGATCACGTATTTTACACTTTTTGTTGGCTTATTGGTTTGAGCTAACTTAGGACAAGCCTCTCTCTCTTTGGGTTTTTTATTATTAAAAAGTTTTTATTGTTATCTCTTTTGAGTCTTATTTTGATGTTTTGATCACGTATTTTACACTTTTTGTTGGCTTATTGGTTTGAGCTAACTTAGGACAAGCCTCTCTCTCTTTGGGTTTTTTATTATTAAAAAGTTTTTATTGTTATCTCTTTTGAGTCTTATTTTGATGTTTTGATCACGTAATATATATATATATATTGCTGATCAATACTTAAGCTAGTTTACTTACTAAAATTCTGCTACATTTATTTAAAATCTGAAAATATTTTGCAATTTCATTTGCTTGTATAATTTAGCCAATATTTGCATTTTTGTGATGAGTTATCCCATTATGCATATTTTCATTCAATTCCTATTACTGCTTCTGTTCATTTACATGAGTTTTTATTTTCAAATATCAATTCTTTGACCATTTAGCACTCAAATTGATAAGACAATCACGTTGGAAGTAAACTGATCAAATTTATCAAACTTTTTTGTAGTAAAGATCCCATCAACAGCTTTAAATTTAATGGCAATCTCCCTCTCTATTAACTATGTTGTAGTGGAATGACCAATTATGAAGAACTTCCAAAACTTGAAGACGATTACAAGGTAAAAAAAGATTTATCAACAAAAAATTATAGAAGTCAGCAGATAGCCTTCATCGAGAATTACAAACTTGAAATTTTTTCATTAAAAAAATCAAGAATTAAACCTTGTATTGTATCAATTACAAATTGGTAACCATTGATAAGACGACTCAAAATACAATAGCAATCACAACTTCAAACTTCTATGCTAAACAAGCTTCACGGCTAATAATGCCATTTCAATTGCAATTACAATTTTGAGAAGCAGCATGATTTATTCAAGTTTGATTCAGCATTATCCTCGAAAAGCCTGCCAAGAAATCATTTTGACAAAATACTTACTCATATTTATCAATATTATCTTCTGAAAATGAAACTTCATCCTCTGCAGGAGGAACATCATGTAAATGGAGACCAACTGCAGGAAAGTCTGGAGAGAGGGATCCGAGGATACCATCAGAACTGAGACTCAATCCACTCTGCAGGAAAGAAGAATCCAACAAAATTATCAAGGTTCGCTGACAAAATCACTAAAGAAATCACGCTCTCTTGCAGAACAGTTACAGCTTGGCAGGTAGGAAAGGATGCTTCATTACATGGCAATGAACAGACAGGTTCGCATGTCATATATAATATTAGAGCTCATTCATTTATAGTTTATGTTTATGCTGCACAACACTATCAAAGTTGTTTTGGTCATGTGGATATTATAGTTATTCCCTACTGTTACATGGCAATGAACAGACAGGTTCGCATGTCATACATAATATTCGAGCTCATCCATTTATAGTTTATGTTTATGCTGCAAAACACTATCAAAGTTGTTTAGGTCATGTGGACATTATAGTTATTCCCTACTCTCTGTAAATTGAGTATTTTACAATTAAGTTTTATTAATTTGGCATCAAGGACCTTTATAAGTAGGAATACTTGAGTTGAAATTATATAACTGTGGATGCAATCAAATTTTCATATATTCCAGGATTTAATCCTTAATCACCTATAAGATTTGAAAATCTCGGGCGGCATATTCTTTGTACAAACGTGCCATCTGTTTGTTTAACATGCTTATCTGATTATGGATTTTCAATCTACATTTTAACTTTATCCATCATATCATATTTTCGATCTTTCTTACAATTTATATTTTAATTCTTGCAAGGTCATCTTGTATAAATATGTAGTTGATTGTTTCAAATTGCTCAATCAATTACAAGGAAGCATTTTGATGGCACGGAAAAAGTGAATTGGCTAGTTAGCAACTCAACGGACGATCCTTAATTGTCATCAATTATTTGCCAATTCATTTGTTGCTAACTCAAAAACAACTCACTAGCCTGCCTAAAGTCCTTGGTGAAAACATTCCTGACCCAAAAAATATGAAATTTCCGACTAATATGTAATGACGAAATTGTTCGATATGTTGAAGTGCGATGAAAACTAATCACAAATAAACGCACATCTCATACCATAGAATGTTTGCATAAGTTAGCCAACCCAACCATGCCGATTTAGTGGGTTTTGTGGGGGCCTCCTCGCTGAGGCTTTGATAGTAGAGCCAAAAATCCAGGATTAGATGTTTTGGAATATTTTAGGGAAATATTCTCTGGCAAAGTGATAGAACTAAATAATGATATTTTCTATACCTTTTTTGCCGTCCTAGGCGTTCATCTTTAAAAAGTGTCATCTCTTCTAATTAAAACCTAATTAAAACGTAGTAAAATCCTAAATAAATGTAGAAGGATGGTCTCTTTAGCTTCTAAAATCTGTCTATGATTTTCTTATGACTTTCCTTCTTCTCTCATCCTTGATAGGGTATCTTCACATGTTGAAGAGCAACAAACATACACTTAATTCTCCAGCATTTGAAGTATATTCTCCTGCATTTGAAGCTTATCAAACAAACAAATGATTTAAAAGCGAAACAAAAGAAAAAGAAAGAATAATATCCTGTCATAGAAATGTTGGACATAAAATAATCACCATGATAAAATCCTTATTAATTAATGAGTGATATATCTTAGGCGATAACAAAATAAGCTCATGAATGTGCAACTGCTAATTTTTGGTCAATAAATATGCTTAAACAAGAAATCCTAACCAAAAATCATGTTCTTCAGCAAGTTGATTGCTAGTTTTTCTAATTAGTTATTTTATCACCGTGTTTTTAGTTTCTCCACTATTAATAGTAGGTGCTCTTTCAATGAGATTAACGGAGGGAAATAGCTATAGGCCTATAGTTTAATATCACGTATTCTAGAGTTTATGGTGGAAAGATGAGGGATTTTGAGGGATTAGGTGGAAAGAGTACTAAATAAAACTACTCAAAATGGGCTACTTTGGACTTATTTGAAAGATTAATTTGGGGAATGCGTTTTTGGTAGAGTAAAATGTTAGAAATAATGGTGGGTGGTTAGCATAAAATTTTAACTTATGCTTTGGAGTAGATAGAAATTTGTTAGCCTTAAGGGATGTCGGAGCATAGGGAACAAGATTAGGTCCTAGATTTCCCTAATTTGGCCGCAAGCTATATGGCAGTGTTTAGAATAGTTGTGAGGCTTTGGTTGTTAATTTGTTTGTCTTGGAGAATGCTTATGAAGGAAGAAAAAGGAGTGAAAAGTTTAGAGCTGATGGTAGAGACAGTGGTGAGATAAATTAAAGGACATATGGATAAATACCTATTCTTAATTGAGAAAAATACATACTTAAAGCCACTAAATGCTAAGGAAATGAAGAGCACCTGTAAACCAAAATATTTCATTCAAAAAATTGAAATCTACAATGCTTACAGTCCAATATTTACACTGAACTAACACTTTTTGAGCCCAGAGAGAGAGAGAGAGAGAGAGAGAGAGAGAAGAGGGTGGTTGTCAACCAATTGAATTGTTTATTCCAGCACCACTCCTTCCATAAATGGCTGACTAAACATGTTCCAAGGCAAAGAAATACTGAATTAATTGAAATTAAAAATAGATTTTAAATATTTCTCATGATTTTTTGTTCGGGCTTTAGCCTTGACTCTTGTATTTGAACCTTTATTTTTTTTTTAATCATATGATATGCTATATCAACTCCCATTGGCTAAAGTGAGCTCCATTTTATAAAATTAAACGTTAAGTAATCTTCTGTGAATTGTGGAGCCAGAGCCTCCAAAGCAATGTGTCAATCATGTCATTTGCAGGTGCCTTCATCCAAAAAACAAAAAAGTAAAACATAACAGTTGAGTTAGAGGATGCTCCCTCATTAGTGAAGTAGTCGACATCGAAAAATAAGAGATTCTACTAGTGAAAAAACTATATTTTATGCTGAAGTGTCAGAACAGACAAATAGAGATTTTCCAACTCCTTTATATGATAGAATATATTTAATATTAATAACAAATAAACTAAAAAATCAACAGATAAATTAAGCTAATGTATTAGATTCAATTTTCCGAAAAATTTGAATTGGCCACAAGCTCTTTTATGCAACTTTTTACATTTTGTGTTTTGGCAATACTCGAGGCAGATGCAAATCAAAAAGTCACTTTTTTAAAATTCTCTTATTGATCAATTACAATTTGCCCTAGAAGTATATTTATCATTAATTGAAATAATTTATTATTTTATACTATCATGGAGACCTTGAAATTCTTTAGCTAATGAGAACGTGGAATCAAAATGCATCAAATATAAGGCTGACTATAGTAATTGGTTGTCTAAGATTCAGGACAAACATAATCAAAGATGAAGTTTTAGTTGTTCTAAGGGTAGTACTATTATATAAAAATTCAAAACTAAATAAATGCAAGTTCAAATTTTTAAAATTTTTCTATAAGGGGCATCTAAGTTTTCGTAACATTTAATTCACTACTTTAATTTACCCATCAATTTGAGGATAAAAAACAAATAAATATTATAGCTTTGTGCCAAGTGACTTCCATAAAATCTTCCAAAAAAATGAAAAAATTTGTCATCACAATTCGAAGGCAAACACGTAGAAATAATTTTCTTAAGAAATAATCTATCAATTTGAGAAACATCATTCATTTTGAATCAGGGTTGAAAATAGGTCATTTTTTAGAATCGATCAATCCATCAAAAAAATGTCATTGTATCCTTGAACTGTGCAAGACAACCCTGATATAAAATTTAGCTATAAATCTTCATAAGATTTATAAGGAACGAGCAAGATACTGTATTGGCTAGATTTTTTTAGCAGCTTTAGCTTAATAGCATGTCAAATATTGAGTCACCAATTTTTAAGCATATCTCTTAAGAGTACCAAAAAATCAATTCTCCATTAAATAGAAAGTTTTATCTATCCCAAAATGACTGACAAATCCTCAAGAATACAGCAACAACAAGCCTTTATCCTACTAAATGGGTCGACTACATGAATCCTTTTTCTCCATTGTGTCCTTTCGGGTGCATAGTTTTATTTAATTTAAATAAATTAAGATCATTTTTTATAAAACATGTCCAAATGTTTTTAGGTCTATCTCTAACATGCTTAACATAAGTCAAATTTAAAGCATATACTCTCCTAATGGGAGCATCACATGGCCGGCATTTAAAAATTAGAACAAATCCTTCGAAAAGAAATTAAAAAATTAGGAATTCCCTAAGAGAGCATACAAGGATGTGAAGATGCTTTTTTCATAAAGATATTAATCAATGATTGAGTACGCCCCTTTAAATTTTAAAAGCTTTGCCCAAGTGCTTGATATAAATTAAATTAAAGTAATAACACATTGAGTACTCATCTCAAATTCATTCAATGCTTAAATTTTTAACTTTTAAAGAAGTAAGTTAATGCTATCTTTGATTAAGCATTGAATAGTTTATTTTCAATTTGAGTTTATATTTGAGAATGAACGAGTAATCATGAAGAAATTAAACCTATTAGGCATGTCCATGACTTTAAATTTTCATTAATTATTGAAAAGATTGAGAGTATGATGATCTAAACTGGGCATAAACTCTCTATATACAAGATATTACTGCCAATATCTCAAACTTGCCTGAAAACATAAAATTGACTGTCATATGTTTAATATCATTGCTTTGCATTGCTTAATTCTTCACTTAAAAAAGCTATAAAGTGATCTTTCTACCTTAATAATCCTCCAATTCCAACTCCAAAAATATCGCAATTCACCTCAAAGGCTTTAGAGAAATCAAAAGGCAAAAGGCTAGGGCAGAAATCATCAATACTTTAATTTTATCTCAGGCATTTTTTGGTCTAACAAAAATTATCCAATTTAAGCAAGTTTATGGTTGAATATACAACAACAACAACCACAACAAGCTTTTATCGCACTAAGTGAGGTCAACTAAATCAATCTTTTTTCTTCGGTATGTCCTATTGAGTGTCATATTTTCATTTACTTCTAATAAATTAAGATCATTTTTTTTAGACAACAAGCCCAATTTTTTTAAAGCCTACATCTTCCTTTCTTTTAAGGCCTACATCTACCTTCTTAACAAAAGTCAAAGTT